TGCCGTTTCTCTCAACCGTGCCCAGGAATAATTCTGGAGCTCTGGCCTCAGGTAGGTGGGAGTTGACTCCGCCCAGAAGGAGCAGTCCGGTGTCCATCGACAGCTCTTCTCCTCCTGATAACCCTCAGCCGTTACGTTCTACAGGTAGCCCCATCTCCTACATCAGCAACCTTCAGATCAGTGAGACTTCAACCACCTCTGACAGCCCTTCCAGCATGGGAGGGTCTTTGTCTCTACCATCAGCCAGCCAAGAAGACACCAGCTCTGTGTCGTTGGTCAACGGCTGTTCCACCAATTCGAGAAGACCTTCTCTACCAAATTCCAGAGGTCCCTGTTTACTGCCTGATTCCAAAATCACACTGTCTCCCAAGGCATCTGCCCAGGGCCCCATGCACTGCACGGTGACCCCCGTAACAACGCCATCAGAAGGAGACTTGCCTTTCAGCTTCCAGGTCCCACCTCTGCAGAAGTTGGGTTCCACGCCTTCTGCAGGAAGTGCTCCACAACCTGGAACCCGTACCTCTGCTTCAGCACCGATCACGAGTTTTGGACCTCTGCTATCGTCTTCTTCTCCTTCTTTTTCTTCTTCTTCTTCTTCAGATCTTGCCTCTCCTAGCTCAGAACCTTCTTCAATGGTCCCACCAGATGATGAAAGACAGTTCTACACCTTTGTGGTACTGCATGCCGCAGAAGATGAGCTGGTGGCTTGCCGGGTGAAGGAACGCTTGGAGGCCCTGGGTGTCTCCAACGGGGCCACCTTCAGCGAAGATTTCCTCGTTCCCGGCTGTGGCCAACTCAGCTGTTTCCAGAATGCCTTGGACAACTCGGCCTTCACGCTTGTGCTCCTGACCAAGAACTTCACGGGCCGCCTCTGTGACTATCAACGCGACACGGCCTTGATGGACTCCCTCACCCGCTGCTGCAAGAGGAACTCGGTCATTCCGTTGGTGCCCAAAGAACATGCTCTAAAATCCGGGGTAATGCCCCTCCTGCTCGCGTCGTTGGTGCCCTTGGTTGAAAAATCTCCTGTGTTTGACAAAAGGGTGAAGAAGACCTTCACTTCCAGGGTGATCCAGGAGAAAAAAGCTACCTGGGACTTCATGAGACAGATCCAGGAAAGAGAGGAGGAGAGAGAACGAGAGCGAGAAAACTTGAGGCTACAACAACGTCTCGCTGTCCTCAACCTTCAACCATCACCAGCTCTACCACCGGTGGTGGACATTTCAAGACCACCAACATCCTTTATGGAACCAGGGCCCGATCAGGCTTCCTTCTCCCAACCATTCATGTTCTCGGTGGGTTCTCCAAACGCAATGCCGGGTCCCCAACTCATCATTCAGAATGCCCAAATGATTCAGATTGGCGATTATAACCGCATGCAGGTGGAAAGAAGCGACGCAGCGGTGGGCACGGCCAATGAGACCACTAAGGGGCCACCCGTGGAGGAAGGAGAGGACAACCCTGGAGAACAAAAATGAGAGGGATGAAAGAAGACATCAGAAACATTTGTTAAGTTCCTTAGAAGCGTCGGTGACTTTGTCGAGGGAAGAGACCAGTCTGACGAAGAGACCGGTGTTACGCGAAGATGTAGGGGCCAACAAGAACTGAGACCTTGAACTTCATGGGTGACCATCTCCTCTTTGCAATCCCCCAGGGACTCGTAAAGCAGAGGTCCTCAACCTTTTGGGCACCATGGACCACCGGTTCCGTGAAGAGAAGTTTTTCCGCGGACCGGGGGGTGCATGGTTTTGTGTGCTGCCTGCATCCTGCGGATGGGGCTTGGCTTGTTTGTGTGGACCGGTTGCTGGCATGTCGCAGCTTGGTACCGGTCCACAGACCGGGGATTGGGGACCCGTCGTAAAGGACAAAATGCACTACAGGTAGTCCTCGACTTACAACCATTTTGTTTAATGATTGCCTGAAGTTACAATGACACTGAAAAAAGGGACTGACGAACGTTTTTCACACTTGCAACCGTTGAACTTACGACGTGATCATAATTCAGGCGCTTGGCCACTGACTCGCATTTATGACTTTTAACAGTTTTCCGGGATCACGTGATCCCCTTTCGCGACCTTCCGATAAACCAAAGACAATGGCGAAGCCAGATTCACTTAGCAACCGTGTTACTAACTCAACAACCGCAGCGATTGAATTACTCACGGTGGCAAGAAAGGTCGTAAAACGGGGCAACGTTCACATAAGAATTCTTTCTTAGCAAGGGAAATTTTGGGCTCAGTCGTGGCCGTTAAGTCGAGGACTTACCTGTATTCTTAATTTTGCAGCTGGGGAGACAGGGGTTTGGGGATCCTTCCGTGCTCTGTAGAAGAGGTGGAGAGGGGAGCCATTTTGCTCTTTTTGGGGGGGGGGGGACCCAGCAAGAACTTTAGAAGGGATGAATCTCAAAGGACACAGAGGAACTGCAGGATGATTTACTTGGGTGAAAATTCTGAAATGTGTACAATTGCTTTATGCTATGCGACCCCTACGCAATCTATATGTGCCCTTTGAAGATGACTCGGTTCGCGTTGCGATTGGAATTACAAGGAGCCTGGCTTGATCTTGGTTTAAGAGGCAAAGAGTCACTGTGATCTTGTTTATGGCTTGGGGGTGTCTCCACTCCACCAGTTGTGACTTAGTCTGCATAACCAGGTTTAAGCTATGGCTTAATGCAGAGTGTAGCAGTTGAGAGCTCTTTTAGATGACAGGCAACGTTGGAATCTAATATGGCAGTCAAGATAGCTAAGATGTGTGGACTTCAACTCCCAGAATTCCCCAGCCAGCACGGCTGGCTAGGGAATTCTGGGAGTTGAAGTCCACACATCTTAAAACTTGTTCAAGTGGAGAAACAGTCGTTAAGACTAAAGGGGTTCAGGAACATGGGTGTGTGTGTACCTCAACATTACCTCTTATCAGCTTGCTGCAGCTTTTCACTTTAACCATCTCTGGAGAAGCCAAGAGGTGCAGATCGCAATGCTGAACCCCCAGCCCGCATTTCATCAGAGCTGGCGATCAAGACCCACTCAGATCTGAGGAAAGAAAGGAGGGATCCAGTTTCCGGAGAAAGGGACCCAGTACTTTTTCCAATCTGGAGAAGAGGCATTAAAGAAGAGATACACTGCCTGTCTGTCTTTAAAGACATCCACTCAGGGAGAAAATTATGTATTATCTTTTTTTTTTGGTCCTGCAAGGAAATGTGTGTCCTTCTTTGGAAAAATGCATTAGAAAAAATTGGGGATCCTTCCCCCCCCCCCTTATATTCCAGTCTGCTCAGTTGGGCCAAGCCACCTCTTAGGCCAGTGGTTCTCAACCTGTGGGTCGGGACCCCATTTGGGGTCGATCGACCATTTCACGGGGGTCGCCAAGCAAGGCTGTCCGCCATTTTTTTTGTCCGCCATTTTTTCCCCCTTTTCCGGCGGGTGCCTTACCTCCCTTGGGCTGGGCCAGCTGGTGGTCGGCCTGCTCCGTCTCTGCCGCTTGCCAGCTACGCCTCG